AGAAGATGAAAAGATGGGTCTCAAAACAGGAACTGTGAATGACTAATAGCCGTGTTAAGCGAAATGACACCGGGTACGCTGTTGAGCATGTTGCAAAGCAACGGGACGTTGTGAACAGTAAAGTAATGGCAAATCGAGCAATATCCTGAACAGAAGGGATTGGGTCTTTTCGGTCGTGACCGAGTAATTTGAATCACTATCTGCATAGGACATTAATACACTGTACGAATTTCGCGATTCAAGGTAAATTAAAAGCTACAAATCTAGCAGTATGCAACCTATGATAAAGCAAATAGTCCGTTGGCTTTTGAAGTAGAACTTGCGAAATTCGTCGGAATTCGCCTAAAGCCCATAACCATACTGCCAATATACTCTCCTCCGCGTCCGAACAAGGACGTTTATTAAAGAAAATATCCTGAAATAATGTTACTCTGGACGTCATAGTTGCCTCGTTTATCTGGTAGATTTATAGGAGCGTTTAATTTTCATTTTCTTGAGGATGCTCGGACTTTCCGAAGGGTGAGTATAAAGGCAATACGACTCATCGCAGCCTCCGCATTAATACGGTAAACCTTCTTGTAACTGGTAAGTACAATGGATACAAGTAACTGACTTCGGTAGATTCCCAAACTCGGAAATTGAAACCTTACTATCTTGTGAGCACCCTATGGATTTAAAAACATTCACACAATTTTTAACTTGTGATCACCGGTAAGAGAACCTGGTTATCAGTCAAATGTCACAAATGCCCATATACTACTGATAGAAGCGAACGGGCGAGTTCCGGGAAATAGTTCAGAAGAAGAGCATGTGATCGCTGGAACATAACGTTTTTGGCGCGACGGTTCGGGACTGCTGGAGTCTTGGTGCTCTGGTCGACAGTCGATTAACAAGCACAAAAACCTTGCGGCTGCATATTCTGTGTTGAGACATTGTCTAGGCAGAGTAGCTAGCCACACAAGAAAGACGCGGGTGGCCAAGGGTTCCAGTGACGGTGAGCACATCACACGATTACTCGGAAACGGGGATGCGATTTCGGCAATTAGCGACTCGGACGCAGACCAAAGACGAGTCACTGCGTCATGTACGACTGTACGTTTTAAATAATTACTGATTGGTATTAATTACTAAATAATTAGTGACAAAAAGGCCAAATTTCCGAGTGAGCATCACACCAATAATCGAGAACGGTGATGAAATTTCAACAATTGGCGACTCGGACGCGAACCAACGAGCATTAATCGCGTCATGTTTGACCACCAGCGATGAATGCCGGATCTGCTAATTGAAGTAGGCACGTGGCTGCATGATAACTACGTCCTATAAATACTACCTCCCTGGTGCCCTCAGTATGGTTTTCTGCAACAGTGTCTCTGATGCTGGGGTTCGGGTGAGAATCCGAAACGTCAGACGGATAAACACCGTGTCCCAGCGATCGCATCTTTCTCTGTCCACAGACTTCTACCGAAAGGAGGAGCATTGTCTACAGCAAAACTATCCGACATGAGGTTTCGCATAAACGTGGGTGTGTACATATCTGAACATACAGTTTCTGTTACTTAGCAATCATCGCACGAAACGGCTATCAGTACAAATCCCTAGACTTACCACTTCCGGGTTTAACTTCGGGCTCGTCAATATCGCTTGAGCCGTCTGCCTGCTCTTCCGCAGCAAGGAGTTCGTTCAACTCTCTTACAGACTGCTTCTGCAACACTGGATGCAGGGTTTCGTAAAAAGCAGAGTTTGGCAATATTTTGATCAACACAGTGCCCAGAATTATGGGAACATAGGAGTGAGGCAGAACAAAGTATCAGATAAAAAGAGATCCGAAATCGGCCGAAAGAAAACAATTACAGAAACGCAAACGAGCACAAAAGGCAATACGAGTAAAGTAAAAGGTTTTAGGGGACACAGCAACGTAAAACGAAAGAAAAAATTAAGTGGCAATTATGATAGGGGCGACCAAAAACAGGAGTAGGAGTTAATTCGAGGGAAACGAGGCGAAAGTTAAAATTTCAAATGAAGCAATTAGCAACGGCCAAATAAAAATGCATGGACGAAAAGCGAGACACAAAGCCACATAAAAGTTACCAGTAAGGGACGAGATGTGTTCATGCGCAAAGCGTGGAATATAATAGAAGGAAGAGACAAACGGCATTAGCTGATAATAAAATGCAGACCATAAATAGCATGAAAGTGCTTTTTAGTTCGTCTTCAATTATAACGCGTCAGAAGGTTGTGAAAATGCATTTCGCCACCCCCTTTGAAAGCTAGAGGACAGCTGTAAAAACATATGCTACGCCATTATTCGAGTACTGCACAGTCATAGTGATGGGTGTATGGCTAGACCAGCTGGCTGTTGTCTTTTTGACGGAATGACAGAATGAACA